TGACACCACAATTAAAATATATTGAACAGCCACACTCAATTACTCCACGTGAATATATTTGGAGAACCTCATGGCCATATGTATTGACAATCATTCTAGCTTCTCTAATGGCTCTCGACACATTGGCAATATTCTTACTGGAAATTGTCAGTTTATCTATTGATGATTCAAAATCATTGAGTAACACAGCCTCGACCGGTGCCGGTATATGGGGATCAATCTTCTTTATAATTGGTGTCGTCATGATGTTTATGTTAGGTATAAACAAATTGCTGCTCTGTTAGTCTAACGGAATGAAAACTAAAATTCTTTATTTTCTAGTATTTGTTAAAAAATGTTCTCGAATATGGTCAACCTATACTTTAGTGGCTAACATCGTTGTTCTAATTGTTGCTTGTATTCTGATTGGTCTTGATGCCAATACTGTCACACCTTACAATACTCAAATATCATCAGCTCCAGCCAAAATTAAAGTATTAAAAGCTCAATTAGCATTAGCGATACTTATGCTTATATTATCCATTGTTTACATTGAACTTTACATCTATACAGCATTTCACTCTTTATACAAAGTCAGTGAAGCATGGAAAATTGTTCCATATCCACCTTATCCAATTATTGGTTAAAAATATCGAAATTAAAATCCTAAAAGCATCAAAAAATCTAGATCTGTTTATCTGTCTGAACGTTTGAATAGATCAATAGATTTTAATATTATTATTCATTTCAAAAGGTGATGAAATTAGTTGCTTTAATAGTTGAAAATATACTCTCTTTTGATTTATCCTAGATAGCGTATATTTGAGCTGTTGAGGTGTTCTGAATCGGTTCAGAATGAGCTACGAATTTTTCAATTTTACGTGACAGTAGTTTAAAATCTAATATAGGTTTTCATTAGGTTTTTAAAATTTATAATGAAAACAAATATTGTCACAAGACTCAACATAGTCTTTAACATGTGTTTCAGTTGTATTTAACGTTCCCATAGGTCAGCTCACACTAGTCCTGGGACTCGAAGGAAACTCGACGCTACATCTAAACCACGATAGATGAAGAGTCGAGACCGCTCCTATATGTGAGAAGCCACTTTTCCCAAACATCCTTTTATAAACCTAGCTAAAAAAAGAGTTTTTCAAACTTTTCTATGAAAAAGCATCTTTCGATCTCCTCTATCGATTGATAAAACTACAAATCTCTATTTATTTTCAGCTTATAGATTATTAAAGATGATGGATTGCGCCGTTTTTTGAAATGAAGACTAAAAAAGCTCCCTTTCATTCACTTAGAAGAATACTGAATAGACAGCTGGAAGTTAGTCGGCTATGTGTCAGTCACATCTAAAAAAGTTTTCTTGTACATAAATAAAGATGTTCGATAAACATAAATACGAACTAATTTTTCTATTTCATTTTTATCTATTTTAAATTGTAGTTCTCTAACTTCGAAGTTTTCTGCATGGATACATGTAAGCATCCGTTTTTTGTAGTGTCATATTGTAATAGACTTGTTTGAAAAGAAAAAAATAATTTTTTTAAATTTTTACAAACTACTCTCAATTAGAAAAAATAATGAAAGAAGAGTGTGTAGAATAACTTTGACTACTCAGGATTTCTAGATACAAATTGAAAGAAGAAAAATGGTATAACGGATGAGACAGAAGAAACCGACCTCTTAGTATTTTGTGTTTTTCTTCTGTTTCTTAAGTCCGATTGTGCCGGTCTTCTTTTCACTAGATTTCCCATTCAATTCTCTACAAAAAATATATTGAATGTCTTATTGCAAAACATGAATGTGAAAAATGACAAGAGAAACTGTACGAAATACCAAATGGGACAAAAAATAAGTTAAAAAATACAGTTATAGTGGTAAAATACAGTTTTTATGATTTTATCCGATAAACGCTTACGAGACAAAAACAGCTGAAGTAGCCCTCGTGTAGACCTTGAAAGCTCTATCTTTCGTCGATAATTAAAGTGTTTTGAGGTAGAATTAAGGGCGTAAGAGTTTTATTATTTTTGTAAATATTTTACTAGCCAGTTGTGATTTTCAATAAAACAAGTATAGTTCAGTCAAAACTTCATTTTTTCACATACACTGAATTCAGTTTTATTTTGAAAACAAATGATTAGTCTATATTGTCAAATCACTATGAATTGACAAAAATTTCTGTTATAGTACGCAGAAAAAGTTCGAATCCCCAGAAGGTCAACCTTTGAGTCAAATATTTTGATTCAAATAAATTTTGTTGTATACGATGAGAATGAGCGCACTTGAAATTACACAGAAATATATTCCGACCGCATTCTAATGCTTGTGAAACCATTAGAAAAAAACTAATTCTGTATGAGCACATACGTTAATGTTTTTCTCTCTTTTGGTACCTCACACGATTTCTCTTGTCATTTTTTACCTTTCTGTTTTGCAATAAGACATTAAATACATTCTTTGTAGAGAATTGAACGAGGAATCTAATGAAAAGAAGATCGACACAATCGGACTTTAGAAACAGAAGAGTTTTCTATCCCACCCGTTACTTTTTCAAGTTTATATATAATGAGGATAAAATCAATATTTGAAACTTTTACTATCAATTCTTTGTAGAACACTTTTTAGAATAGTAGAAGCTAGTTAAACATGCATTTTCGTATATATGATTATAAATTCTACCCTCATCGCTTATATATCTGCTGCATTTCGATTCATATCTAACAGACTGTATGACTCATATGCCTTGTTACAATAAATTCACGTGGAGTAATCGAGTGTGATTTGAGTATATTTTAATTATGGTATGCCACAATGTGTTG